CGCCGCCGGGGCTGCTCGCGATTACGATAAAAGACTGATCGTACGTAGCGTTCTAAAACTCTTGGAAGCGAGAAATAAAAAAATTTCGTACTGGATACAATTGGCCTACCATGAGAAGTAAATATGATCCGAGGGTACGAACACCAATGATCCGTGCCGGTTCTGCGCTCCTTCTCTTCTAGAGCTCCAGTAGACATACTACCCCTTCATGCCCGGAGGTCGAGAGGATGCCTCAGTGCTATAAGGGAGCCTTTGGGTTGTGTCTGTAACTCCAGAAGTCGTCCCAGATTCCCTTATACCTGTATAACCTCACTGTCAAAAACGACTCGCTTCTCCATGGTCCATTACTCAAAGGGCGTTGCTCTACTCTTAACGGCAACCGGTGCTTTCGCGAGCCCCTGGCTTGAGACCTCCAAGCACGCTACCCACCGTACTCGTGAAGTTTCTCCTGGGTTCAAGGTTCATGCGTATCAACCAGTTTCGAAGTATGAAGTAAGTAACCATATAAACTGCCTGAAACGGGTTGTTGATTAAAACACATATAGACTTTTGGAGAGGGCATTGACCACCCGCTATCTAAGCGCGAGATTCCGGCCAGCCCAGAGGAGGCTGCGCTGAGTTTCTTGGGTTCGCACCTTGGTATCAACGCCTCGAGTTTGTCATATAGGACGGGCTATACTGGAGAGGTCTCGAAACATGTCTATATCAGACAAAAAATCGTACGAACTCCGAAGGTCTTGAAGCTATGTCTTGAGATGTGCTGAATAACACTTTCGGTCGTAGAATGGCATCGAAGTGACAAATGCAGTTGCTAACGTAGCACTGAACAAAAACGACAAGGTCATCGCTTATGGATCTAGCTTTGTCAATCCAAGTACGTGATAGACCATCTTGAGTGAAGATTAACTGCTAATTGAGATTGTCAACCAGAAAACGTTGCATCTTCTACACCTAAGCTTTCCAAAGGCGACGCGATTGCCAAGGCAGAAACGGCCTTCTCCGCCAAATACAACGACTGGAAAGTATCTCTCGAGTACTTCACCAAGGACAGCGGCGATGCTGCTCTTACCTACCTAGTTCAAGTACAAAACGAGGACCACTGGTGGGAAGTCAGTGTCGATGCTGCAAATGGAGAGATCGTAAACGCAGTTGACTTTGTTGCGGCAGCGTCGGTGAGTGAGATCGTAAGAAAGCAAGATCCATATCGTTTATTTTCTCGTATCAGTACAACGTCGTCAGATACGACAAGCAAGATATTCGGGAAGGCTTTACAGTTGAGACTAACCCCGCAGACACCATTGCGTCTCCGGGGGGGTGGCACGTTGCCGGGTCGAATTCTTACACGACAACGCGCGGTAACAATGTTGTGGCATATAAGACGAGTAGTACCGGTGGGTCATCTTCTTCTAGCTGATACGGACCTGACAATTGATGGATATTGCTTTTTGCAGGCACGAGTTCTCAGACGTCATCCGGCCTCAACTTCCTCTACACCCACAATGTCAATGTCAGCCCTTCTACTAGCCCAAATCTCGACGTTGCACGCGTCAACGGGTTCTACACAGGAAACATGATCCATGTCAGTTCTTTCTTACGCTAAGGTATGGCTTGAGCAGTAAACTGAAGAGTTCACTTTGCCAAAGGACTTGACATATCGATATGGTATGAGTTATTCCGCATTAGCTGAACCAACCGCATCAGAGCTCACTCCCTATCCAATACGCTAGGATTCACTGAGCGCGCCTATAATTTCCAAGTACGATCCCCCCCTCCTGTAATTTTATATCACACGTGCTTTTCACTGACGCTTATGCAGGTTGATAACCGCGGGAATGGGGGTGCTGGAAATGATCCCGTCAACCTGTCCATTCAAGATGCGTCCGGCACCAATAGTGCGGTAAGCCGCCTGCCGAGACTTGTAGCCCCCACGACGCTCATGATATCACCATACACAGAACTTTGCCACCCCTGGCGATGGACAATCAGGTACATGCAGGATGTACATCTGGACTTACAGTACCCCCAATCGTGAGCAAACTTGCCTGTGATCCTCGAAGATAGCATATTCATTTTTGTGTCTAGGGGACGGGTCTCTCTCAAACGACATCATCGCCCATGAATTTACCCACGGCGTTACCAATAGAATGACTGGTGGTGTAAGTGGATGGACTCCTCTGTACCATAGGAAAATTGATCGCATTATTGACCGCTGTTCTCGCTAGGGAACCGGAAGGTACCCACGATAGCGCCCGGTATAAAACAACCCTGACTGATACTGCCATTGTCTTGGTGCAGATGTCTGCAAACAACAGAAGCAGGTGGAATGGGCGAAGGCTGGTCGGATTTCATGGCCTTTTGGACAGAACAAAAAAGCGCTGCCCAAGTCGACTTCATTTTAGCCCCGTGAGTGTAATTTGACTTTATTCTGTTCTCCTTTTAATCGATTCGCGTGCAGATACCCCTACAATAATCCCAAAGGTAAAAACCAAGCCGCATTATCAAGTCGCTGAATCTATCATTTAACATACACTCAGGCTACCGCACCGTGCCATACTCTACCAACAAGTAAGTGCGGTCATTTACCATCAGGGGTGTTGTACTCTAACACTCCTCTTCCCTGCCCAGATCCGTCGACCCACACATGTACTCCACCCTCAAGACCGTCAGCGAAGGTAAGCACCTTACTTCAAACCAACGGATATTTTTACCATTAATAACCTCCTCCTTTCCTAGTTCACAGCACGTATCATCCTCATAAGCTCTGAGAGAAATCGATAAATCAATCTTTAACGCCTACCGTTTAACCAGGGATCGGTGAAGTCTGGGTCACAAGTATGCTCGCTTTATTTTTCTCTTGATCAACAGTGTGCTGAGAATCGCCTCAATGTTTCAAGTGCTGATTGAAGCTTACTATGCCCTCGTTGCCAAATAGTACAGCTGACAGCGTCTTTCCGGTTGTATGACTTGTTGGCTGATGTTGTGTTTTCGCAGCGGATTTTCTAACAACAAGTTCGACCCAAGGTAAACACATTCACCAAAGATAATGCATACGACTGAACGAGCCTACGCACGCCAGCGGATCTGCTGGGAATATCGTCATGTTGTAAGTGATGAGGAATGCAACTGAAAGATCGCTGGTTTCTAATTCCACTGCAGCCACCTATTCATTGACGCACTCGCGATTCAACCTTGCAATCCAACCTTCCTTTCTGCTCGTGATGGTGAGACGCATGGCCGATCCTAAAATGTGACGCCCCGCTGACCGCGGCGATTCATAGCAATCATCCAAGCTGATGTCAACAGGTATGGCGGTGTCAATAAATGCTTGCTGTGGAATGTGAGGAGTCTCCCCTAATATGTCATGCATGAGTGCTCATATTTTATTTGCGTTTGAATTCCTTAGGCGTTCGCAAAGCGCGGTCTCGGCTCCAGTGCCAGTGGCCACAATGATAGCAGCGCTGTCCCCAGCGGCTGCTAACTGTACAAGGTAGGGGAAACCCATGTGCCGTACATGCATATATATTGTGGAAAACCCAAATACATTCTCCGATCTCATGAGCAGTGGTGCAAGTTTTAGATGGCCAGGATCAGCTCCTTGATCTCAGCTAAGGTAGGACGCTGAGCAGGATCCGCTCGCGCACAGGCCTTGTAAATGTCGGCAAAGGGAGGGGGTACCCAAAGCTACAAAAGCTCACGGCGCGGGTTATTCCCCATGTACAGTTGCCATAGACAAAATTTTAAGGCATAAATGTCACTAGCCGGGCTATGGACGCCACTCGCAGCCGATTCGGGCGCCCGGCAGGGGGGCGAAGCGAACTCGCATTGCAAATCGCCAATTTTGAGTGGCGTGTCGACCATGATGTTTCGAAGCACGAGATCCCGATGGACGATCCTTTCGGAGTGGAGGCAATCGAGGCCATCAATGATGTCGAGCATCCAAGCGCAGATGCCCGTGATGGCGCAGCGCTCCGGATGCATGACGGCTCCGTCCTACCCGATAACTGCACGACGCGGGGCGACCCTTCGCACTTCAGCAAGGTGGTGATCCCGCGGATATCGGTCGGCCTCTTCAGGAAGTGCTTGGAGAGATCGGCCGCTGATACAATAGGCAGAGCTTTGAGCTCGCTGCTATTGTCAGCCTCTGCCAACTCCTCTGCAGTCCGTCCACCATCGTACTCGGAGAGAGGGACGTACTCCTTGTAATCGATGATCGTGATAGTGTCGCCATCGATTTGGAGGGTTTCGCCGTAGCGGGGAAGGTCCGTCCGATAATTGGTTATGTCAGCGGCCAATGTGCCAGGCTTATAGATGATGTGAACGTAGTAAGATTCGTACCAGACTTGGACATCTGCGGTGGTGTAGAGCGCTCTGCGGGCATTGAGCCAAATTTCGTAACAATCCTGGCAGTCGATGGCCTCTGCTCTGAGGTGCGCAAGGTATGCGGAGAAAGCCGCGTCGGCGTCAAGGCGCGACCCAATGCCAAGCGCATGCTCAAGGTCCGTCAGGCCTGGTTAGCGATGGGTGGAACAAGCGGATGATCCAAAGAAACATACTATTACGAAGTTCAGCAGCACTCATAATTGCTGGCAGCGCTGATGAGAACTTTGAGAAATTATCGAGTAACCCTGTAAGCCAAGATTCAGTCGTGCTATTTTTCTCTGAAGCTTGAGCTTGGTACTGACCTGCCAGAGTAATGAGGAAGGTTGTGAGGGGCTCCAGGAAAACCTGTTGGTGGCGAGTTATATGCTTCGACAATTCAGCATAAACACGCAAGCTCGGGCCTATGTTAAGGATACTCAGAAGGGACAGTCACATCCACTCCGCCGGGCTGATCAGTAAACCCATGTGCAAATCATTGCGAATTATGGATTCGAGTGAGAAGCGCGCTTCGGCTAGAGGCGGAAATATAATATTGGCTTCGACTTCCGCATTTTGAATAAGTCTCTCTGCCAGCAAAATCTAGCTACCCCAAAAGGCCTTCGAAGAAAATTACCATGTAATGATCACCGCAGGGCTCGAACCTGCAATCTCCTGATCTCCATTTCTAGCTAGAAACTCGTAGTCAGACGCGATACCATTTCGCCAGGCGACCTGTTAAGGATCGGCAAAAAATATATCATTAAGTGCAGGGAGTTGGCGTAAAGAGAAGCTGGATGTTCACCAGATGTAGGATTCGCCATAACAAGATCCAGCTTCGCAAGATCCAGCTTCGCAACTCGCGTCATGTCATACGAGAAATAGAATCTTAGAGATTTCCGGGGTTACCTCCCAAAAAGGGACTTGGTTCAAGGGTTTTCCGAGCCATTTTTTTGGGGGCGCTGGAACGATCCAGGATGCGACCGTGATGGTGGTGAGTTTGTTGAAGTCATTACCTTCCCAAGCTAGTCACGTGACCGGCCCAAGTGTGACCGGCAGGCATCCAAACAGGCTGCAAATCACTGCACCATCATCTTCTTCGACGATTTTGCTAGCTAGGCTTGCTCATCTTGCCCTACCGGAAATAAGACAGCCAAATCTCAGATTCTGAAAACGTCACAAGATGTCTTTGAACAACCTTATGTCTGGTGCTGACTGTGGCCCGGTCAACCCACTTGCTCAAGTGCTGAAGCATACGGAAGGCGACAGGAGCCTCCAGAGGGTTTGCTAATTTGCATGGTTATTTCCTAGCCTCGTGTGCTAATTTGCGATTCAATTTTGCTAGGACAGAGTGGGCGGCCCATCTTCGTCATCGGTACATTCCTAGACCTGCTATACGAGATTCCGATCTAATCTCGTACCCAGTAGTTACACCATCTCCCCAGCTCCTCCACACATGCCCCGTCTGCTGCAGATCAAGCTATGGCAAGGAAATTTTTTGAACCAAGTGCGAGTGCTGCGCCAAGTCCGGCGTTCGCACCCCAGCAGTTCAGCCCAGCAGCGTTCGCTCAGGCTTCGTTTCGCGGCGGTGACCCCCGTGGAATGGAAGAGGCTTGGGCAAGGCCCTCGATCTCCCAGCAGGTCCCTATCGGGCCTGCTCCGGGTATGAGTGTAGGCCCGCTCTCCGGAGGGGGCCAATGGGCAAGGCAATTCGATGCGCACCTATCCGAGGCAGGAAGTGCGACTGGCCCCGCCGTTGCTCAATCAAGTAGTCCTATTCCTGGCGCTACCACGTCGCCCTACCTCATGAATCGTGAGGCATTTTCCGCACCTTTTCATCCTTCCTATCTTATTAACAGCTTATTACCAACCAGAGGGTTACGGGATGTACATGCCCTCTTACGCGACCCAGCAACCTATGCTCTACCAGCAGAATCAGCAGCAGTCTCCTGCGGTTGACTGGGATAGCGAATTTGCTAAAGTCGCTGCGACAGATGTCAAAGGAAAGGGACGCATTGTGGAAGTGACTGATGAACTTGCCGAGGCAATGGCGAAGGCAGACCTTGCTGAAAAGCAAGCGGCGGAGGATTTGGCGAAATCACCTGATACTACGAAAGAGGAGCTTGAAAGGTTTGCATTCTTTCATGGTAGTGCCTTGAAGACTTCTGGATGATTTGGCTTAGCAGAGTTTGGAATGAGTTAAAATCCACAGCCGGTACCAGCGAACTGGACGACCTCGCAAAATGGGAGGCGCAGTACCAGCAGGTCTTAAACGCAGAACGAGACGACTTTGATTACGGTGCAGACATGCAGCGTGCATGGGAGAAAGGAGGCTTTGGTGAAGGCTTGGATGATGTAATGGGGGGTGATGCTGTAGACGACCTGAACCTTCGATTCGATGACGATGGTATTCCATCTCTGGGAGAATATGTGTTTGGTAAAATATTCTTCATCTAAAGGATATATATTTACTCACTCAACGCTTAATTTCAGAACCCAACAACCCCTATCTCCAATCTGGTCTCAAATACGATTACCTGGCCATGGCGAAATCGACGCTCAAATCCAATGGTTCGTTGACGGAAGCGGCGCTATGTCTCGAAGCAGCCATCCAGGACGGCCAGCTGGGTGAGGGCGGATACGAGGCCTGGATTCTGTTGGGCGAGACGCGGAGTATGGACGAACGCGAAGACAATGCGATTCGCGCACTTGTAGAAGGTGCCAAGCGTGCCGAGGCAGCTGGAGCCACGGGAGCTGGGATGATGGTGCGCAATATCGCTTACCAGATCATCATCATATTACTTATTTCAGTCCACCCAAAGTCTCTTGCGATCGCGTACACCAACGAGTCGTATGAACGCGCCGCCTACACCACGCTTACGCGCTGGCTGCACTCGCGTTATCCAGATCTTGCGCCTGCCCGCATACCCGACCCTCACGGTCGTACAAAGTGGGCTGCTCATGAGTTTGTCACAGAAATATTCCTCAACGTGGTGCGCGGAGGTGGCGAGGGAGCGGCAGACCCAGACGTCCAGGTTGGCCTGGGCACGCTATTCTTTGCAAATGGAGAGTACGACCGAGCTGGGGATTGTTTTGAAAGCGCCCTCAGTGCCAGACCAGACGTAAGCATCGTCATATTCTGCCTGCTTGTCCCATGAGATCAACTTCAACGATATAGGACTTCCTTCTCTGGAATCGGTTCGGTTCATGTCTCTCAAACGGGTCTAAACCCGAAGAATCTTTGGGTGCTTATCGAGAAGCACTTCGCCTGCGTCCCACGTACACCCGTGCTATCCATAACGTAGGCGTAGCATGCCTCAATATTGGTGCCCATCAGGAGGCCGCGGAGCACTTCCTAAGCGCGCTTGCGCTACAAGGAAGTGGCGACGACGCACGCGACAAGGGTAACTCCAAAAGCGCCCAGCTTTGGCTAGTTTTGAGCCGGACATTCTTTGCCATGGCACGTTGCTCTCCTGGTTTCACGCAACTTCCGCTTATATGTCTAACATTTCACTCTCTTCATTGATAAAATTAGCAAAGGCAAGATCTAAGCGACCTTGCGAAACAAGTACGGGATGGCAAGGCTAGCTTAGATGCCTTCAAAGAGAAGGGGTTTTATTTTTAACAATGGTTGGAGCTTCTGTAAGCACGAGGCCGGGCGTTGCGCAATATACCCCATATTCTAGAGAAGTACGGGCACTTTGGACCGCGTCTAGGGCATGAGGGGATACATTCGAAATGGTATCTGCTGGACGTGGTTCTGTGCCTTTATTTCATGGGCCATTCTTTTCCAACAGCATCTTCAGAGCGGAGTTCTTTGAGGATCTGTGCCCACAGCTCACTGCGACCCTCAAGCACCTGGGCGTCCCCCAATATGTATAACCCTTCGCGAGCGCGGGATAGAGCAACGTTGACGCGTGCCTAAGAGACAGTGTTAGTGTGTGCAGGTATCAAAAGAGCAAACCGCCTGCCTTTGCAAACTCGGTTGAGTAGGACGAGTGCGCTGATTGGCCGCCTTCATCGGCCTTTGCCTCCAGGAGCCATAGGATGATTACTTTCGCTTCCTGGCCCTGCTCAGCGATTCAGCGAATGTCAGGACAAATGGCGCAAACAGGATCTTTTTACCGGGAAGTTATCCACGCTCCTCCAGTACCTATGGAAAACACATGAGCTAATCATCGGTTTGAATATCAACAGGCGACCTTACACTTTCTCCTTGACTTCTGCTGCTTTTTGCGCACCTTTCAGTGGATCAAATGAAGTGGAAGAATGAGCGTCAAGTTCAATGAGGCGTGCGACCTGCTTCTCTAGGTTCTGCCCGCGTCGGAGATACGCAAATGGGTCGGGGCTCAAGAGAAGTACGGCGATATCACCTTCTTCATCGTAATGCTGAGGGCTGTATAAAATATCCGGATTAGAGCACAACTCTGAGTCTAAAGGTCAGATGTTGCGATAGCTTTACCGCAAAAGGTGAAGTAGAAGATCTTTCAAGTGTTGCACCTGCAAACAAACATCAGTTAACTGTGATCTCTCAGAATTTATGCGAATGACCAACAGCAGAGTGGATTTGACCAGAGACATCTTCCGTTGCTTCGTCTTCAACTCGTATCTGATCCAGGAAGAACACATCTTTTGACATTCCGATAACCGGTCCCATTTTTGCGAGATCGCGGTTGTCTTTGAGAGCCGGATATTGAGTGTCGCTATTGACAGGGGTAGAAGTTGTCGTTGACATCTGAGAATCAGTGAAACTGGCGCGACAAATGAGTATAAGCTACTCGCCGTAAGAGGCGTGATATTGAAGGTCGCATTCGGTATTGGGTGTTCAACTTGGATGTCGGCAGACCTAACCGAGAGAGGCGCGTGACAAGTGAGTCGTCAAAGCGGAACAGACGGCTGCCTTCGTCCGGATCATCAACAGTTAGGCCTATTAAGACTATTAGATTAGGGTTTTGGAAGAGCTCCAGTAAAGGGATACATACGCCGACACTCCAGAGTAGGACGCAACTGTTGGGGGTCTCCAATCATGATCAGGTGCTGCAGTGAAGGGAGGATATTTGACAGGCAGTGCGCTTCCTGCATCTGGCCCGCGTCTTCGATAACCATGACTTGAGCATCGAGACTCTGATACGTTGGAAAGGTGAGCTGCTTAGATTACGGAATGAGAGAAATGAACCATGTGGCTCACTTTCAAAAGCGATTTTGATTTTGAGGCCACTATTGACGTGACATGATCATGGGTGCACGGTTAAAACGAGGATAATGAGGGGGATATACCTGATACAGTGGATGCGATCAATGAAGCATCTTTCATTATTTGTCGACAGATCTTAATAGTTGATCCAACATTAGAGGAATGGCGGATTGTGGATAAGATAGATTCCTACTTGTTCTTTAATACCAGTCATACGCTCGTACACAGCCGTGTATTTTTGTTGAAGATTTACCAGAGTCGATTGAAGAGAGGTGTCGGATTGCTCCAAGAGTTCGTTGAGATGCATTGTCAGCGTCGTTCGCTCCATTATAGAAAAGCTCCAGATATCCGAGGCTAAAAGCAATTCGCGCAGCGAACGGTCTGTACATGGGCACTCAGGCCTCTGAGCAAATCCGAATCGGGCAAAGAATTCGTCGATACCGTCGAAGCCATACGTGGAGCTATTGCGAACGTCCAAAGATGTCGATGGGGTGGAGGATGAAGGTGTGTAGTGATGCTCGAGAAGAATCAAGTCTTCAAAA